GGGGGGAGGCAATTGCCCCCCCACCCAGAGAAAGAATTCCCCCCCCCCCAGTAAAGCCATTTCTGCCCCCGAAGTGCGAAGCAGAATTTCTCATGATTGCTGTCAGAATTGCAGTTGATTTACTTGATGAGATTATGCCCTTCCATAGCCTCCTCCACAGCCATCTTGTATTCAAGGTGACTTTTCCAATTTATTTAATTCCGAGTAGAAATGTCTGAAAATTTATGTCTTCGATGTACTTTATAATCTTCGGAATTCTGCTAGATTTCACCTTCAAATGCTTGAAATCGCAATTCAGGGAACCCAGATTTCAAAATTTTCCCTCCTAGACGGTCTCACGCCTTCGGCGTGAGGTTCGCCCCCCCCCCCAAAAAAAATAAGGTTTGGCTAGGCCACTGGTTATAGCAGCTACAAAGAGTTGATGTTATTGTTTAAAGTAAAATATAGCTGAAGTTAATAAATTAAAGTTTTACAAAATCTCTCTTCAGACTCGCGCGTTAGCCAAACCTCGACGGCTCATATTTTTCGTTCTGCCTTTTTTTCCTGTTTTGCCCCCCTCTCCCCCAGTGAAAATTCCTTAAAAAAGGCACTGTGACATCTGTGACTGTGCCTTCGGTATCAGTTAAATATATACCTCTTGCCTTGTTTTAATACGCTTGTATGGAAGGAAAATCATTAATAAAAGTCTTTAAAACAAAGAGGTTTTTTTATATTGTGGAATACACTGTGCAATTTATCCCTTGGACAAAGACAAAGTTTTCAAATTTGAGTGTCTTAGATAATATAAATGGCCCTGTTTTATATATGGGTGTGAGTATAAATACCTAGACATATATAAGGGAATAGACATAAAGGAATAGAAAAGACAACTGGAATTTAATAGGAATCTAATAGTTTTGCAAGTGACAGTTTATGTGACATTCATCTTGCTTGCCAAAGTTCACAGGCAAAATATTTACATGGGTAAAATCCATCAATTTTGCAAGGCAAATTTCCATGTAAGTTGTAACCATACAAACAGTCACTGAGGAAACTTCCCAGTGATAGCTAGTGTTTTGCTATTGTTATATTACACAGCAACCACCCTGTCCCAATTCCAATTATTGAACTATATATTAAAGATGCGGTACAGTACCTCTTTTTATTTACAAACAGTTTATTTAGGTTTTTATTTCATTTTATGTTCTTGCAAAGCTTGATTGTTGTCTCTTAATAATTTATTATACTCTAGAATCATGAAAATATAAATAGTTGTCGAATAAAATTCAATATTTTGCATACCGAAATGTAAACAAAGCCTTTGTTTACATACGGACTGTACCGCATCTTTAACTGTAAGTTTACAAAAATGAATACATTTGGTAAGCTTTAGCAGGGATGGATCTAGCATGATCTGATAGGGGGGGGATACTCTGCCAGCTCTGGTACCGAGTTGTGTCGGTCATGTGTGCCGCCCGCCCATCAACTTGCTTCACTACTGCAAAGTCTTGCTTGACTACTGTATTTGAATTGTAATTGTTCACAGTTCGCTTATCATCATGTTATTACTCAAATTACTGTATCTCATTTTGTCTCTAATAAATTTTGCTTGTCATGAAAAATAGCACCTCCTCTGCACCCCCTCTGGCCAGGGCTAGGGGGGAGCACACCCCCTCCCCCCAGTAAATCCATCCCTGAGCTTTAGATTAACCCATCGTCTGCACTCTCCCATTGAAGAGTAAAATTGTCTGATGTTAGACAGAGTGAAAGCAGGCACTCCCCTGCCAGGGATGAGACAACGAGAACTTGTTGTGGGCCCCTGGCATTGTAGGCTCTTACATGAAAAACCTAGATTTACTATATTTTAAACCAATATATGTCAAGAGCAATTTTATTTGAACATGAACAAGGGAGATACATATAATTAGAGAATATGCAGATACATCATAAATTCATTTATTTATCAAATCATGGATCATGTCATGTGGCCAGTAAGTGTAACACAACTAGGCATATACTATATTAGAAAGAGGTTGTTACATGTGCCAACTGCTTTTCACGGGCATGGTGCCACAATGCAACTTAATGGATTTAGCATATTTACATGATATTAAGGGGGTAAGGGAGTTAAAAAAACTGCAATTTCAATTTAACTATTCAACCAAGTGAAGCCTGGTTCACATATACCTACGGTACGTTGGCAGGCTATTGTCATTAGAAGTTCAACCAAATAATTAACAAAAGAATGTATGCATCAACAGCTGTAAATAGTACATAGTGCAGGCATATGTAAACCAAGCTTATAATTTATTAAGATGCCAACAAAATCTTGATGTTCGTAGTAATCAAATTTCTGTATTTGATATTTCTCTCCTCACTTATTGAAATGGTTGCTTCAACAGAAAGATCTTTTTCTTCTATATATCAATTCATTGAGCATGTTGCCAAATGCCTGATGATTTGACTAAAATTAGTGAAATATAATCAAAATTTCAACCCCTTAGACATGTCAAAATATTATTCCAGAAAACAAATTATACAATTTAATATAATCCCTTTATTAAACAAATTATACCTTTCTTATCGTTCCATTCTTCGTTTTGCGTTCGAAATTATGCCAGATAATTTCCTCAAATTGTAGTTCCTCGGCTGAACAATTGAGCGGAACTCTTAACCCATACATTCAATTATACATATTTGTAGACATAATTTGTAAACACTTGACTGCTTCGAGCGAGCGATTCAGAATTTGCACATCGTTTTTAGACCGCGAGAGACATTGCGACATATAATCCTTTCAATTGACCAACTAATTTTCGTATAGCTTGAATATTTCGACGCATTATAAAACATTTTTAAAGTTTTTAATGTTTTTTTAAAATCGCAAGCTTCGCTCCTCGCCAGAAGATTTCAAACTGAATATATAATAAGGGTCAAAAGCCTACTTAGGGGGTGGGGTACATTGACACGGCCACTAGGTACATTGACACGTCCATTTTGTTCGATTTATGGCAGGCCTCTCTCCCAGAAAATTTTTTTTTCAAAACCCATTCGCAGGCTAGAACCCATAGAGAGGCCTGCGGAGGAGGCTAGATTAATGTTTGAACATGTTTTGTTTCTAAAATCCATAGGTTTTCATGTAAGCTAAATTTGGCCAATATGGAATTCGTGGGTCTTAACCTTTACTTTTAGTTTAATGGTTCAAAATCAAGTGAGAACTACTGTTTCCGATTATCTATGGTATATATAGTATGCTAGTTTACAAAAATCATAATTTGATTTGACATAATTTGACCTCGGGAAAGCAGTGTGTTTTGTGGCCCCTCGACCGCCAACGGCGGTCTCGGGTCCACAAAACACACTGTTTTCCTCGGTCTCAGTAAATAAGTGATAATTATTTTAAATTTGACTGTGCGTACCGGTACGTATTACTGTAAGGTACAAACCTTAGAAATATATTGGGCCTTTGTATGTCTTATCTGTCGTAAACATGCTAATGGTTTTAAAAGAAATTCTACAACAATCGATTGCAAATAAATACGCTCCTATACATACTCAAAATATAGGATTTATTAGAGAGAATATCGAGCTAAATACTCTGTATATTAATGCACTTATTTATTATTCTTCATTAACATGTTCAGTTCAACAAAATTGGAAAATCTACCACACAGTACTTTACGCGGACAGCGGTTATTTTATAATCGCTCACAAATATCAATTAATATCCAATCATGATTCTGGTTAAACAAATGTTCTGCCGAATACAACACTCAACAGCAATTTTGTGAGTATTCGGCTTTTTCTTGTTGATACATGTATATATATAGAACTAAACCTGATACTGTGTCGTTGAGTGAGCTTCGAGAAGTGTTTAATTAATTTCAATTTCAAACGTCCAGCCAGGCTTTATTGACAACTTCGTCCCTTACAATAACGTTATGACGTATTTTATGAAAAATACATGCCAATAAAAATCTTCGTTTCATGGTATAGTCCTTTGTGTTGCTTTATTCACACTCCTTGTATTGTTTTGAACTCGAACGCTAAATTTTCCTTCCAGGGGCGCACATTCCGAAAATTTCTGGGGGGGGGGGGGGAATTTTTGGGGACCGACTTTCATGGCTCAGTATCCTAATAATAATAATGATAAAATATTTATTTAAACTGCATAATTGTGTCAGCTGACAACACGATGATCGCATTGATCACTGGTATTAATACAGGTACAGAAATTCTCTTCAGTTCCTACCCGCCCGGCGCCCGCTCCATCTCAATGATCTCATTCTCAAAAAACTGTCAGTTTACTGTTAAAAGACTACAATATAAAAAAATGATTAATAAACGCATTGGAGATTGCTCCAATTTGTACATGCAATAAAAAAAGGCACATCAAGAAGATTCGAAATATAGACTATTCCATTTTTGTAGGCATTTTTATTTTTGTATACCTTCTAAGATAAAAACCTTGTAAGTTCAAACCATTTAGCCGTTTTAGCAGAATTAGTGAACTACAGTTTGTAGAATAATCGATTCATCGTTCCTGGTTTTTAATTCTAAAATTTCATTGAAGAAACGCTTCTTATATTAGTAATATTATCCAACATTTATCAAACGTCGTGTTTTTGCCCAACGATCCACAATTTCATCCAAATTTATCGAGTCTGTAATGTCAGTTTCGCATCCAAGCATCATCAATCTTTTAAGTCTCTCTTTTAAATTTAAGTCTTATCCTAGAGGCAGAATCAAATTTTCTGTCTGATTCTGTAAACCACATTTTTGTAGATTGTACAACATCTACCTATTCTATCTATCAATAGTTAGCTACATGACACAAACCTTAGGTTTCACATATTTTACGGCATGGTCTGCCTACAAGACCCTACGAGTATGTCCGCATGCACATAGCCTCAACCACAACAAGTGAATGGACAGATATACGAAATTAGTCGAAATACACAGTGAACAACATGTACCACCTAAATTGCGGGTGATGCCAATACACAATGAAACACTGTAACAACCACAATGCCAATAACAACTAGTTTTTGTAGCCAAAGAGAGAACAACATTGTTGTTCTCTTTTAGTGGCGACAAAAGCTAGTTGTTATTTTACATTTGTGTTCTTGTTTAAAATACGTAAATGGGTCCTCAATTGCATTTAGAGTGAAGTTACAGAATACAGGTTTCGCAAAGTTTATAAAAGAAAATAAATAAAAGTTTCGCAAAGTTTTGTAAAATCGCAACCGTTCGGACAAAACTAAACAAAACAAGCGCAAAGCAGTTCAGCATAGCCTCCGCCTACGAAATCTCCTATCTGATTATGCGAGTGAATTTCAATGAATGCGGGTGAATTAAGTGCCATATTTTACGCGGGTGATGATTCCAAAATGCGGGTATCACCCGCTCAATGTGGGTGAGTTCACATATTTGTATACAATATACCCTGTGAGGATATAAGAAAACCGTCGACCAAATAGAGGTACAGGAAATTACACAACACAATTAAAATCACAAGCGACAATCGTATAAGGGATATAAGTCCCAAAAATACACTCTGCTCCAGTCTGTTGCTCGGAATATTACCCGAGCAAGCTCGGGATGAAAATTGCTGACCCGGGTCAGCAAAAATTTTCGTCAACCCGGGTTCATGTAAACCGAATAAAAAATAACCACCTGTGGCGTGCTGACCCGGGTTGAAAATCATCCCGGGCTCGTGTAAAGAGGGCCTAAGTAAGCCACAAACGAGAGGTCCGAGACGCATGTAGAGGTCCTATTCAGCATAAGCATACAGAACATACCTAGAATGAATTTGAGAACCGTTGACGCCTTCTCAGTCTTTACTAGTCTTCTTAGACCTTAGTGCCAACTATGCAGTATTTTCTAGATTTTACAATCGAGTATTTTCTTGATTTAACGACTGCGTGTTTGATGTGCCAGTCGCAGGGTCAGACATATGAGACATTGTTAAAAGATAATGTCAAGTCTGTCTCAAAGCACTTTGCACCCGGAAAATGCCGGTCAAATTTCAAAAATCAAAATACACTGTTTGCCTTTGAAACTCGCTATTCTATTTACCAATGCAGTTATATTTGTATATAAATATGAAAAAAAAACGATGAAAAACTTTAATTTATCTTAATTATATAAATATATCTATCTAGTATATCGGATGTTCGAGGACCGAACCTGGGACCGAACTGGTTATCTAATATGCATTTTTCAGGACCGACTTTAGACCGTTTTTGAAAAGCTGGGGGGGGGGTTGACACCCCCACACCCCCTAATGTGCGCCCCTGTTGCCTTCCCTACCCCCATAAGTCTCAATTGTAATCTCCCAAAATCTGAGAGACACGTGACCATCCTGGACCAGGGTCTTTCCTCCAGCGAGGTGCGTAGTGGAAAGAGCCTGGGTACGAGCTAGGTTGGTTTAGTTTTAGTGTTATAGTATATTGTTTTAAACTTTTCAGAACCCGCAAAGACCTTGATGACACCAAATGCAAACGCCATGAGAAATCAGTCAATAACTTGATTAACACAATCCCGAGCATGATCAACCCGTTTGAAACAGAGCAAGAAGTACTGCTAGCATTGGCAAGTGGTGTTATGGTAGTGAACCAGGTAACAGATAATCTTTTAAACGCAGAAGTATTAGGAGAGCAACAGTTTGTGATGTTTTCGAAGAGCAATTTGTTGAGTGATGACCCAGATATTTTCACGTGACAAGATACAGACATTTTCGTCAACGAAACAAATATCTGTAAAGGGGCAAGATGGACAGAAAAATAGCATCGTGATGAAACGAAACTTGTTTGCTCGTTTACTGGTTATCGCCAAAAGTCGTAAAGTTGACTTAAAAGAGTTGCTGTCGTACAGTCTTGATACTTATCCCCTTTCGTTGTCTACAACAACCGGAGGCCTTGTGAAAACTGCCAAATCCAAACTCTTCGATATCTTGGAAGACGAAGCTGGAAACCCAGAAGATGATATGCGCATTCAACAACAACGCAATCATTGTGGATGGTGTGAGTAGTAATATAGGGGCCGATCGGGCCGGATTTTTGAGGTGGTGGATGAGGTGGTGTGAGGTGGTGGAGTGTGAGGTGGTGGAGTTTTGAGGTGGTGGGTGTCCACCACCTCATTTATAATTAATACTCGTCCAATTGAGGAGGAGTAATGACGTCACTCATTAACATACGTCATAATTATATGCAATGACGTCACGCGGGCAGGTTTAAGCGCGATCGGGCAAAATTTGCTGACTACGCATTTTTTAGCGTCCCTCCACGTTTATGATACAGCTCTAGCATTTTGCTGTGATTGTCAAGTGATTCCTTTAATTTAGCTCCTAGAGGAGTAAAAAATCTGATACTATATGAAATAGCATTAGTGTTATATATCTAAAACTTATATATTCGGGGTATACAGCTATATGTTTTGTTGTTAAGTAATATATAAATATTATCAAGCGTCAAAATGCTGAGAAATAGCATGCGGTAAGAGTTATGTATCTACAATTAAACTAATATTTAAATCCCGGTCTGCCATATGAGGTCTATATACGAGAGAATATGTTGCTGTTTAGAGTTATATAAACACATGGAAATTAGAAGTTATGATATATAATTGTCAAGCGATTTCTATATTTTATTGCTAGTTTTTTAAAGTACTAAAACTCGGATAAGGTTAATAAATTTAAGCTATATTAAAGCACACCGGTTGCTATGTGTTGTTAGGGTGAAACTAATTAAAGGATTAACTTTTATCAGAGATTTGCATTTTCTACTGTGTGGATAAATACGTGTAGATTAGGATATTCATTGCGCGGGCGTCGCGGGTTATCCGTGCGGGAAGAGAGAAAGCGATTTAGACAAGACAGGAGCGCTTTGCAGCCAAAAGTTGAAAGACTTTGTGTGGAATCCTGTAATGGTTGTCAAGTTGGTCATCCTAGTCAAAGACAACATGACTGCCTTATGATGAACGAAAACGAACGAGGGCAAATAAGGAATCTATTCGTCACAAAAATCATATTTTAAACATATTTTAGACATATTTTAAACTAAACAGTTCCTAATCCCGAGTTGTCAACGTCGTTGTTAAGGTCAATATTTACATGTTGTTCAACGTTATTTTAGCAAATATTCTACATACATATATACTGTTAAGATGATCATAAGTAAGCTTATCAAGAATATAAGTTAGAATTGGAACAGTTGTAAGATATTTTGCAATAAAAACATGTAATCGTTATATACGTTGTTATTTGTTGCTAAGTCATTAGCGACGCTTGCGTGCATGCATATATTAACGTACAACATATTTGTACACTAATCAGGCGGGCGGATCGCGCGGGCGGAAAGAGCGGGCTTTGCCGGCAAAAATTTACACAATATTTCAGTTTTTAAATTTATTTCTTCAAAACTTTTTACAAAATTTAGTACGGTCTACTTCTAAGAGCATAACGTCTAGGAGTTTTTGTTATTTTTAAAGAGTTTTCATATTCTTGTCTATCTTCTGGGGATAACCTTGCAACATCTTCATTCTTCATTGGAATATATTTCGGCCTCTCGCGAAGTAATCTTTGTTCGTAACCTTCTCGTTGTTCAGGGGTCATCATTGCCAAATCTTGGGGCCTCCAATCTGTAGAGTCTACCCAATTGTGGAAAAAGTTGCGCTTGAGTTTTGGCCGTTCCTCTTCGGTTGGTGGTGGTGTAAGGAAATTAGGTTTAGGTGTAGCAGGCACTGGTGGTGCTATCTCGACTGATTCATTGGGTTGTGGCATCTCTGCAGGCACGAATGGAGTTGTCTGAACAGGAGCTTGAGTCGGAATATCCATCTTATTTTTGAATGTCAAAAACCGATTTAGTTGATCAGAGTATAATTTGCTTTTTTCCACTGCGCTAAGCTGTGGTGCATCCATGATTTCTTTCATTCTCTGTTCGGCATCATACATTGCGTTTGCAAGTGGTGGTTGACGATACGACTGTTTTTGTATAAACTTTGCAATCTCGCCGGGAAGTACGTTTGTCTTGAGTCGATCTTGGTCACTCGTTGTCGGCTTTAAATCCAACATCAAATATCCGTGAGGCCGGCTCGTAGCATCTTCATAACTCCTCATAACCTCCTGGACTTTGCCGGGATTTATTTGCCTTGCAAGTATAGAAATTTGTTGTTTATCTCTTGGTGACTTGAACAATACGATATAATGCGCGTTTAGACTAATATTTCTCATTTCTTTGCCCTGATGAAATATATTTTGGACAATATAGATGACAGACAAATTTCGATGATGACTTCCTTTCGTAAAAAGATCAGAAATACGTTTATCTTTGCCAGATTGAGCCATAAGATCATCCAATACGATCAAATTCCGTTGCGATACGTCCAAGTAATCTGCATTGTCGATATCGTCGGGGATGCCTTCATTAAACTCGATTCCAGGCATTATCCTCATCATATCAAAATAGGACGGTTGCCATTGAACATAACACCAAATGATACGTTGAGGAGTAGGACTTATAGTCGTTTGAGCATTCTCCAAGAGAGATTTCACCCATACGGTTTTGCCGCTTTGGGTACATCCTGCAACGATGCATGTAAAGGGATGCTGCATGACTGTAACCCCATTCACCGTGAGAGTTTGCTGCCCAAGATTACGAGATCCATATGCATGGACAACCTTCTTGTGGCGAAGGAGATTACTCGCATTTGCAAACGTTTTACCGCAGATGTCGCATTCATAAGACATGTTTACTTCTCAAGAGTCAGTGTAAAATGATTTAAAGCAAGAGTGAAGAGGTGTATTTATCCCGTTGGTTATTGTGGCGTCTATAAAAACTATTGTAAAGACTATGAAAGACTATAGTCCTGACTATGAAAGACTATAGTCCTGATTATGAAAGACTATAGTCCTGACTATATAAAAGACTATAGTCCTCACTATGAAAGACTATGAAAGACTATAGTAAAGACTATGAAAGACTATAGTCCTGACTATGAAAGACTATAGTCCTGACTATGAAAGACTATAGTCCTGACTATGAAAGACTATAGTCCTGACTATGGAAGACTATAGTCCTGACTATGAAAAACTATAGTCCTGACTATGAAAGACTATAGTCC